TGACGCTCTGAGCCGGCACTTGGCGAGAGTGGGGAGGAAAAACTCCCATTTAAGGGAAGAGATCTCTCCCGTATGACCCGAATTTACTTATTATCTTTAAAGGAATTGTTAAACTCTTAATCATTGCATAGCGAGGAGCCCGCTTTACCGTCAACCCTCAAAATGTCTGTGCTGCTCAGGTTCGGCTCGGTGGCGTGCGGCGTCGGTCAGGAGCTTTACGTGTTCGGTGGAGTCAGAAGCCAAGAGAACGACAACCCCGAGCAAAGACAAATGACGACCTGCAAGTCTGAGTTCTACCACGACGAGATGAGGAGGTGAGTCGTTAAACGTTGAAACCACAGACGCAGCCACAGTGACGTCAACTGTGCTGGCGCAATAAAGTGCTCGAATTCAGCGCTTTCCCAAACGCTGTTAAACAGAGGAAGGGATTTACAGTTTATTTTGAATGCTTCCATTATTTCATTTGCACAAAGAACTGAAAAGATTTCACAGAATTCTGGTTCATGGTTTCATTCAACGATCCGCTTTCGCCCTTCTCATTCTCCGCCATGTGCGTATGAAAACAAAGGCACTGTGCATGCGCATTTTACCCATATTCTATCAATATTTCATTTTCTAATCGTTGCCCAACATCATACCGGTGTTACCGTGAACGCTATGATGTGGCCCAGCCCTAGTTCTGTTGACCCCACAGGTTTCTAATCAGGTCTTTGTGTGGGCGAGTCAATAACCTTCCCTTGTTGAGTCAGAAGACAAAACAATGACCCAGTTTTCTTTCAAAATCTTTCCTTCCGTCATGGGTCCACCTTGATGAAATTCCCACTTCCAGAAGCACTGAAGCATCCCCACAGCATAAGATCAAGGTCAAATTTATTTCTATAGCACATTTCAAACAGCCGATGTTGCACAAAGTGCTTAACAATATAAAAATGCCATTAAAAAGCAACAATGTAATACAATAATAACAATAAAAAACAATAATAGGACAGTAAAAGAATTAAAACGATAACTAAACTAATTCAAATAAGACCAAAATGCTTCGGTCATAGTGTGTTAAAAGCCAGGGCGTAGAAATGTGTCTTTAGCAATGATTTAAATTGCTCAAGTGTTTGTGCAGATCTAATATTTAAGGGGAGACTATTCCAAAGTCTGGGACCTGCCACAGAGAAGGATCTATCACCACGGGATTTGAGGTTAGTCCGTGGGATGGACAGCATTAGTTTTGAGCTGGACCTCGTGGTTTTTCCTGGAGCATAGGCAGAGAGGAGCTCAGACAGGTAAGGAGGGGCTCGGGGGTTAAGTGACTTAATTGGATCCTGTAGGAGACAGGAAGCCAGTGTAAAGAAGCTAAAACTGGGGTTATATGCTCTCTCCGTTTGGTACCAGTTAGCAGGCGAGCAGCTGCATTTTGAACCATCTGAAGACGATGGATGGAGGCCTGATCTAGACCATAATACAATGAATTGCAGTAGTCTAATCTGCAAGTAAGAAAAAGGTGACTAACATGCTCAAAGACGTTAGCCGTGAGGTTGTCTTCAGCGCACTTCGTTCTGGTTTGAAGGCGTCTCTTCTGTTTTTCTTGCAGTCTATTCCTGTCCAGGAAACGCTGTGATAACTTTATATATCCATTTCCTGCTTTGTGAGCATCAACAATTATCTTTCTTTTATTTTCGGCGTCACGCTTTCTCCAGTGACAGCTGAACGTCTTGTTGAAGCTTTTATTTTGTGTGTGTTTGGACGATAGCGCTCCGTTTGAACTTCATCGTTGCACCGATGAGCAGAGCTGTCCTTACAGTTTGTATGTGTGGCTAATCTTACGATTGCATTATTAAAAGAAAAGAAACACGTTCTGCTGCAGGTGGATGTTCCTGGATGACCAGAACCTGTGCATCCAGACCAGCTCCTCCTTCGTCTACGGCGCCGTGCCCATTGGCGCCAGTATCTACGTGGTGGGGGACCTGGACACAGGTCGGTGAAAACATTAAATAAAGCTCTCCTGGGCTTTCAGGATGTTCAGTGTTTGATCCTGTTACCCTCTCGCTTCCTTTGGTTGCAGGCACAAACTTTGACTACATCCGGGAGTTCCGGCGCACCACCGGGACGTGGCACCGCACCAAGCAGATGTTACCCAGCGACCTTTCCAAAACGGCCTGTGCCAACTTGCGCATCGCCAACTGTCGACTGTTCCGCCTTCAGCTGAGTCAGGGCATGTTCCGGATCCGAATCTGACCCGAGACAGCAGCCGGACGCTCTGTCCCGGCTGCACGTGTCTCCACTTTTGCACACTGGTACGCTCTATCTGCTGTAGGTCTGAGTTTATATACAAACACTAAAGCGCTGTAGTCACTACGCTTTGAAGATCTCGACTCCAGTCATTGGTTTATACTCACGACCCTTTTGATGTATATTTATTGTATGACCAAA